AAAAAGCTACAATCTGAAAAATTAAGAGGAGGCAAGAATGGAAGAATGTGATGTTAGTTCTTTCTGAAATGGAGGATTTATTGCAGAAGGAATCATTTCTTCAATGAAGACTAGACAAACTATTTTACTAGACAAGGAGACCTTGCTGGGTTCAATATATGTAGATCCAAAACACAGAATCCTCTTTTCAATGATGAATTAGATTTTGAGACATGTTTTTGGATGATATTTAAAAGGCTAAGGCAACATGAATGAAAATAAAAAAATCAAGAGACTTTAGATATAAAAATGAAAAAATACAAACAAGATTTCTAATCGGCCTTTGAAGAAAGAGAGAAATATGATTGCTCTTGCAAGACACCTCTTTTAGAGCTTATAAAAATCTATCCTGAAAAGTTGAAAGAAGTAGCCCTAACAGTAATAGCATTTCCTCCTACTCAAGTAAGTGTGGAAACTCTTCTTGGCTCTAAAGTTCATCAAATCAGATCTATGGTCCTCCAACAAAGGAGTTCTAGCTGAAACTATGCTGTTTCTTAGAAATAACTAATGCCAGTTTTCCCATTTCATAATAAATGCTAATTAATATAATAATTTGTTATGCCATCACATTTTTTTTTTTTTTTTCTGTAGCATCTATTACTTCTTTTATATTAAAAAAAGCCTTAAACCATGCATATATGTTTACATGTATATATGAGGGAGTAGAAGTCGGAGTTTTAAAAATTCTAGGTGTAGGAGTCAGAGTCGAAATAGGTCATTTTCCCTACCGGCTCCACAGCCCTGATTCTACTGCATATATATGCAAATGTAAGATTAAAATATTTAGCATACTTGCAGTAAAATAGGCCTTTCAAAAATAGCTACCTAAAAAGATAAACTATACTAAAGTAAAACATTAAATTGATTTTAATTATCAGGTGCAAAATGCTGCAATGTAAACAAATAATACTCCTTATGCAATTACAGATTCAAGTAAAACATTAAAATAATCAGAATTTATTACTTAGGGTAAAATACAATAACATTACTCATGCTTTAAAAATATGACGACTATAATGTTTTAATCTTGACCAACTTTACGTATCTCCCATGAGAATTTACCAAATTATTTGTAATTTATAAAAATGAATTTGAATGCAAATTACTGAAACATATTTAAAAATGCATTGCAATGAAATTGATGTTTAAAAATATGTTTATTAGGTGCTAAACAAAGCTTTATTTCCTGAAAACTACAACTCCTAATTTCAAACAAAGAGATCCATGAAAACAAAATCTATAGGCACTTATGTAAAGCTACAATTAAATTAATTTTGAGGAAAAAAAATTGCTTTATATATTTTCTTTAAATGAAATGCTGCATTCCTTTTGAAATTTTATTATAATCAGTTCTTAATTCATTGAAAAGCTGGAGGGGGAGAGATGTCTGAGAATTGCATAAAAGATATATTCCACTAAGAGAAAAAATGTTCAAAATAAAATGAATTCTTCCTTTATACACTGCTCGACTTTGAAAATGCAACACCAAGAAGGAGTGGTCAGAAAGTGATGAAATTTGGAAAAAAAGACAGAGACAGCAAGCAGCAATAAGTGAACTTTATTTCAAAATGATAGTCAGAATCCAGAGCGAGAACGGTGTCGGTTCAGTAGGATGTAGGACCATCGCAGACAGCGATGCACGAAGAAACATGTCTATGCATAGAGCCAATAAGAGTGTGGATGGTGTCCTGAGGGATCCCTTTCAACCATTTGCCACAGTTCGCCTTTTGAACAAGGCAGGGGCAGAGTCTGCAAACGGCGTCCAATCACACCCCACACATGTTCGATTGGTGAGGGGTCAGGAGAGTACGGCAGCCAGGGAAGCATCTGTACACCTTGCAGAGCATGTTGGCAGATGCGAGCACTGTGTGGTCGGGCGTTATCCTGCTGAAAAATTGCATTAGGCAGCCTCTGAAGGTAGGGGATTCCACCGGCTGCAGTACATTGTCCGAGTATTGTTGGGCCGTCATAGTGCCCTGAATACGAACTAGAGGAGACCTGGAATCGTAGGGCAATAGCGTCCCAAACCATTATGCCATGTTGTCGCACAGTGGGGCATTCCACAGTTACTGCCGGATTAGATCTGTCTCCACATCGACGCCACACACGTATGCGGTGACTGTCACTGGATAAACAGAAGCATGACTCATCTGAGAACACGACGTTTTGCCATTTTGCCATCCACAGTCCGGCACCATTCTAAAAGTTGGTGTCTATGCTGTGGTGTGAATGGCAGTCTTCTTAACGGACGCCGTGAGTGCAGGCCACGTTCAACCAATCAACGGGAAATGGTTCTGGTCGACACAGGAACATCCAGGATATCTTGCACATGCTGCAGAATCGCGATACAAGTGACTTGCAGGACCGCCACAGCTTGTCGGCGGATGCATCAATTCACGCATGCTGACGGCACTCTGGCTGTGCCTGCAACCCTCCTTCGTCCCACATTTCTTTGTTCCAACCATGCTCGCCATAGCCAATACACTGTGCTCGCATCCATGTGGGTATCAGCTGCGATTTGATGTAAGGACAAACCCGCCCTTCTCAGTCCATCACCATACTTCTTGTAAAATCATCTATCTGCTGAAAGTGCCTTTGTTGCCGGCGGCCTGGCATTCTCTACTATTACACGTGTCCTCCAATACAAAAACCAACTTTCTTCGATAATTCATCTGGCAGAAAGTAACGACATGAATATTGCCCATTCTGCACGTTCCTTCCCTTATATCTTACTTCACGTGTGTCGGAGAGCTGTGCACTTCACATCATTCGCATAACTCAGTGACGTGCATCTACTCTATGTTTCTAACCACTCCTTCTTGGTGTTGCATTTTCAATGTCGAGCAGTGTGTTATGAGACATACAGAAAGTAAGTTTATTGGGCCAATATTTGGGAAGTAACAAAATTTCATGGAAAAATTTATTACAACAGAACATCAATTGCTCATCTACTTTTCAATACAATCCCACAAAATCATCATTTGAATCTATCAATGAATCTTATCTGGCATCAAAAGCAAAGTATGATAGTTACCAATGAGTGGTCACTAATGTGTGACTAGCACCTATGCGTCACATTAAATGTTAACCAAACTGGAAATTCCTAAAATGAAACAAAAGATGGGGATCATTGCAAACAAGTTTGGGAATATACTAGAGATGTTCAAAAGCTTTTAGCAGAAATCCTCCAGAAGTTTGTTGTGTTTAAGCATATGTGCTTCATAAGAATATTCAATATATAATTTTTTGCCAGTATGAGGATCTCTACATTTCCAAATACTTCTTCAGTAGAAAATAAAATGGTTGATTTTTTTCAAGATCCACTATCATGCCAGTGCATCAACTGCCGCTAGCTTCCTGAAATATGAAACCACCATTTTATCAGTAATGATGATCCAGAAAAAAAAAAAAAAAAAAAAAAAAATCTTGCTGTATTCAACATGGCACCATTGCAAACATATCAATACTACTTGGTTTGAATTTTACTTTCTTTAGTGACTATCTCATGCCTGATTTCCAGAAAAACAAGTATTTCATAACAGTTTCATGCAACAAGAAGCACATATCTGAGGCAAATGCCAGCAGAGTTCTGTAAATGCAAAGCAACATTCTTAAAAAATATGATCCTTCACTTGCTCCACAAGGCTCTAGGTAAAGACCCCTCCTCCTTATGGACATTTCGATGACTTTCTGAAAACAGATTGTGCTGGGAATTTACCATCTACTGGCTTATGGCATCTAGCCCATGCACCAGAAAATGCTGATGATAAATTTTGATGAACATCATGCTTTACATATTTGATCCAATATCTAGCAGTCAATCACCACATTCAGCTGATGCAGCAATGCTATTGCAAACAAATGAGAATTGATACTTGGCCCACACAATTGCCACCACATGAATCTCTAGCATTCATATACTATCTTCTGTGACAGCATGGCTTACTATCTGCATACAGAGGTAAATTAAACTTTGGGATTCACCCCATACATAAAATTTCTTTAAAATGTCAAATATGTGTTTTCAGTTTATTTCACATACTTTTCAATTTTAAATTTTCACAACAGAAAACTCAATTTTGATTAATAAAACCAAATATTAATTATAAACAAAAAATATTTGCAGGACAAAACCTTTATTTGATATTTTTTATATTAATCTGAGCAATTTATTGCTACAACACATTAAAAAAATTTTCGAAAGAAATAATAATTATCAGTTAACATTCAATTTTTCAGCATTTAAAGAAAAATTTAGAAACAAGTATGGCTACACACAGCTCAGAATTTGTTAGGAGAATGCATCAACTTAAATATTAACCAAAATTAAAACAGTTAAGTTTTTAAATTCAGAAAAGCATTTTTTGATATATTAAATTTTTTCTCATGTAACAAAAATTGTATTAAAATATATATTTTACTTCTATTTAATGACTACCTAACTTGTCAGAAGGGGAAAAAATTAAGAAATTTCATTCATGTTTTTACACACATAAATAACAAAAAACTTTTCAAATAAAAAAGCTGCTAAAATACTGCATTAACAGCAGTTATTGCTCAAACATTTAAGTTTTCTGGTAGATCTTAAAATTTTTTAATAATTTCATTTACATTAATCAGAAAATTTAACCTTCAGGAACAGTTATTATTAATTGTGCTACATTATTTTTGTGCTATTATTATTATTATTTTATACTAAAAATAATATCTTGAAGAGTATTTTAAATTAATGAATCAAAAAATTAATAAATTTAAGTAAGTCCCAACTAAAGATTATACACATAACCATACATCAAAATTACAGAATAAGAAATTTTGTACAGGTCCGTTTTTTTTTTTTTTTTTTTATTTCACAAAAAAATTTCCACCTATTTTGAAATAAACATCAGTTACTAATCGTATTTTCAATTTTAAACACATGAGTAAATGAATAAAAAAAGCTCTAAAAGAGGAAAAAAATAATATTGTATTCAAAAGCTGACTTTTCTTTAATTAATAATTAATGACTTTTCTTTCATTTTGTTGGCATCTTACCTCCATTTCCCATCGTCCAAAGCCCATGATATCTTCTTTCAATACAATTGGAAGTGGATCAAGGCGACCTACAAGGGTCATGAAATAACTATGAAAGCAAAAGAGTGAATTTAAACCAGAGGTCATATAAACTGCAGTAATGAGAAAAAAGTATCATAATACGAATCAGCTTTATATATATATATATATATATATATATATATATATATTGCTTGGATTAAACCTAATTTTTGAAAAAAAAAAAAAAAAAAAAAAAAAAAGCACGGAAACTGGCTTATATTTTTTAGATTTGCTATAAAATAATAATAAATACAAATGTAAAAAACAAAAAGAAAATAGTAAAAAGTTTTTTTAAAAAAAAACATTACCCAAAAAAATCTTATGCATAAGACACACTTTCTTTATGAACAACTAACCATATATTTTCAATAATGTCAATAAATCTCTTACTTGAAATATTGTAAAGAAGTAGTATTCATGCTCAATTACAAAAGCCAAAAATCAATGAAAACATATTTTCATTATTATCAAACTTTTATAACTCAAGAAAAGATTTTATTTAGTCTTACGTGCCAAAATTTTTATTTAAACTTGATGAAACACAAATAGAAAAATTCGAAATTAATACACTAGAATCTAGTTCAAAATCAATAAACTAGATTCTAGTTTTTTTTTTTATTATTATTATTTTAAATTCTATAAACTACATGTACAACAGTAAAAATAGGATCAAAACACACACACACACACAAAAAAAAAAAAGGATCAGGTTTTGCTGCACATACAAAATAATTGATTTAATTTTTACAATTCACACTCTGTATTTCTATATTTTCATTCTGAAATCATTATCATTAAAAAATGAAGGGAAAAAACTAGTTTTCTAAAAGAAGATATTGTTGGAGCTTCAAAATTACACTCCACAAATTTCACTAGCAAAATTAGCTTTGATAATGTTTTACCTGTTTTAGGCTATTGTTGATTTCTTTTCAAAATTGGAGTATTACAAATTGCTCATTATGTTCTGATTACCTATGTTTTCTATACTACAGCCAAAATCTATGTTTATTATTTTTTCTAAACTGGTGTTTCCCAATATGTAAATGAATAAAATGGAAGCTATATTCTGAATATATTTCCTTAGTATTTCTATCAATTAGTATTCTACCAATGATAAAAATAATATGTAAGAAAAGCATGACTGGTACTCACTTGTTACCACACTCGCCATTATTTTAACACTGCTAAGTGTCTTCTAGCCAATGGACTGCATCAAATTAGCAACTATATTCACAACTCTTTTCATGACAGGCAAACTGTAAGTGATTGTGGTTAGGACTGTCAGCAAACAGCTCTTAGTATAGTTACTGCTTTGGCCCAGTCCATTAACAAGAAGGCTCTTGAAACTGTTTACATACAAGAGCCATATTAATAAGAAATACCGTATTTGACGGCATATAATACGCACCCTTATTTAGAAGGCCAAAGTTATCTGTGTCTAGATCTTTATCCGGGCTAAAAATAGCATTCAGTATTGAAAGTTAACCTGTGCTCTTCACATATAAGACGCAGGTAACTTTTTTGAGACCAAATTTAGGAAAAAAAGTGTGTCTTATATACCGTCAAATACGGTAGTGTTTTTATGACAATCTTCTTGCAATCTTTATATGTACTTTAAATACGAAATAATATTTGTAAAGACACATACTTCTGTATTCTAACATATACAATGTAGTCAACTGTACCATCACATTATCACATATTTTGTTTTATGCTTCATAAAAAATGACAGTGCACCAAAAAAAAAAAAAAAAAGTGCTATGGGATGTAGCATTTAACGTTATTCAATTTTAAAAGTAGAACCACACAATTATTGTCTGAATCTGGTTACTTAAGATTTATAAAATATGCCTAATTTCTGCAATACAATGTCTTAAATGAATAAATAATAAGAAATGAGTAAATAAAGCTCTCTTTGAAAAGAGGTTTTACATTTGCAGCGTTTTTAAGGAATTAGGAAACAAATACATGACTAAAGAAACCTGCAACCTTTTTTAAATTGCAAATGGCGCACTTATGTTTTTGAGCACGCCAATTACTTAAATTTCAATTTATCTTTTTTTTTTTTGTTTGTTTGTTTGTTTTGTTTTTGAATTTTACAGTAAATACAATTATATCTAAGGCATGCTTAATATGAAATAGTTCTTATTGTTCTTATTAAGTAATAATTTAACTTTATTAATGTCAGATTTAAGAAATTTTGAATAAATTCTTTTTGTGGGATATACTGTTCCAATTGTATTGAACAGTGGGTTAATATGTACCATTAGTGATCAAATTACTACATGCTGAATTATGAACAATTACTACATGCTACAATTATGAAACATATATGAAAATTTTTGTTGTATATGAACTGGTGCATGTAGCAAAGTTTACATTTTGTAATATTCACATCATATATTACCACAAATTTTAGTTTTGTTTTCTGAGAAAGGGTAATATCCTATACGATTGGGACATATTGTTCCATGAGATTTCCAGGAAACTGGAAAAGTTAAAAACTTTAAACTCATATTATGTTTCTTTTAGTATGTCAACATTAAATTAAACAACTTTTTGTAGTTAAATTTTAATCATGCAAAAGTTGGGTTGAAAGGCTTAATGTCTTCCACGACAAATAAGACACTGCAGTCATCTCTTAGTCACTTGCCATGACACAATACACTACACCAAGCAAAACCTTTGCAATTTCCACAAGAACTGGATTTTTAAGGCTGCTGATGTCAGGAAGGGTAACAGAAAAAACTTCAAAGAATAGCCTCTTATTAAAGTCTGCCGCAATAGGATTCCAAGGAATTGATTAAGAACCTTTAAATATCACTAAATCAAGAATGAACTAATTTAGATAATCTACAGTTACGTAATTTCTCAGAAAGAAAGAATAATCTTTAATAATTTTCTTTTAAGAAAAGAATAATTAAGAAGAAAATCGAACCAATGAACTTGTTGAAAGTCAAGAAAAAAACTTTAATTGATTTTAAAAAGTGGAAAATTCTTAAACTATGTTAAATCTTGAAATCTAATATATATATATATATAAATTTAGATAAACAATTAATATATGTATATATATATATATGGGAATTGAATACTTCAATTATAACATACAGAAATGTAGAAATTGTGGGACATATAAAATCCTCATCTGAAGATAAATATGAAGTACAATTGCAGAATGCTAATAAAACTATGATGATTAAAGATGGAGAAGTTAACAAACACACTGCATATCATTTTAGAAGCTTCTGAAAACACTGGCCTTGAAATATTCAGCTCAATTACCACTTTACCGAAAATTGTCTAATCTACAAAAGATTTAAATGGAAACAAACTTTATTAACAGATTATTTTCACTATGGTTTGTAGTAGCTACTTATATTTCTGTTATGTACTTAATTAAAAAACTTAAATTTAAAATTTTGTAAAGTATTTTTAGTTTAAAAGCTTTAAATTAAATACTAATGAGATTAAATATTTTAATGTATTAATATTCAAGTTATTGATTAAATATTTTTAATAATTAAATATTAATAGATTAAAAGAAAATTAAAGATTAAATACTTTAATGTTTATTATTTTTAATGATTAAATATTTTTAATGTGTATTCAATGCTACCTTCGTATCCAATCATTGCTTTAAAAATCTGTCAGAAATTAAACCCTCATATCTTGATCCCCCCCCCCTTCACAAGATTTGAGATTATAGGTTTGACTATATTCCTCTAAATAACTAATTATACCATAAAAATGCAAAATTTAATATTAAAAATATTTTATTCTTCTAATGCTTTGTTATTATTACATATTTCTTATTATATATAGAGAGAGATATATAACTAATACTATACTATATAAATACTAAAGACTCATTCTGACAACCCTTTACAAAATATTAATATTCAAATTACAAAGTTTAACATAAAACTTGAAATAAAATGATAGTTCATTAATACAATTACATTAATAAAACTAAGCAAGTTGAAATTTTCTCTGGATAATCAAGAATAATCAAGAATAAAACTAAAACTTAGTAACCCCCAATAAAACCAATGCACACAATTTTTAACAGCAATTTAACAGGCTATATGTTTTAGACAATTCATTTAAAGATATGTAAATATAGTGTGTGCATGTAAATTTATACTGTAAAATTTCTCGTAACTGGCACCCAATTAATCAGTGATATCGAAACAAAGGCATTTTTGCGGGTTCAAAATTTAAGCTTATGCAATAGAAAAATATGTAATTGCCTAACAAACTGAAGATCTGAGTATTTGTGTTATGTTTCCAACCAGTAAAGTATCCAGAATATAAAGATCTACCGATCTCTTTCTATGTGTTGATAGGTGAACTTTGAAGATAGTGACCATAATTTTGAGAAACAGTTCAGATTGAAAGATGCCACATTTACTTTGTCTCTTGATTGGAAAGGTGTAAAACCAGTCACTTTACATTGCTGTTGGTATAAATTGTGGCCTATCATTTTTGTAGATGACAAATCAAATGACACAATTCTTCTTAATTTTAACGTATGTCTGACTCCTGTGGCTGACCTCTTAGATTTAGTTGTACATTTGGAGAAGGTTAATTAATATTAATGATGAGGAGACGCAGGTTTGAATGGATGTAGACAGTTCTGTTTATGTCACATTCTCTCATGACGATGTAAAACAATTGGACATGTATTGGGGGAAAAAGATGAGAAGGGGGAGATGAAAATGATATGCAAAGCATGAAAATTATGTAGAAGGAAATAGATGAAAATGCAAACTTTCATGAGATTTGCCAAGAATTCTCCACCTATATTAGTACATACCCAGATTTCACCCCGAAGACAGTCTGCCGATGCTAACAGATGATGATGCATTTCCTGTGAACGTATCTCTCTCGGGGCAAACAGTGAACTGGTTAAGGGATTCAGTTAATTTCCTACACCAGATATGTTGAACACAATGCTTACAGCTAAATGATACTGATAATATAACAATACATCGAATAGAAAAAG